ACGAATATGCTATTGTATTTTTTGTTATATTCAATCAATTTAGTATTTCAAATATTCAAAATTTGTAAGTATTTGTATGATACAGTAATATGATGGAGCGGGTTAGGATTTTAAAACATGCAAATTTTTTGCAAATTGAGTTGTTAAAACATGCAAGACAGTGGACTGATTCGAAGCAGATAGATTGGTTATATAGTAATATATATAACCAATCTAAATATGCGACTTAAATATATATAATACTTATAACTATATAGATTGGTTATATAGTAATATATATTTACATAAGATTAAAGTTTAGAAAATAAGTCAAAAATTTTGGATAGCTAAAATTACTAATTTTAAATTATGCATATATATATATATATACGTTTTTTATACAATATAAAAACAATTCTAAAAAAATAATTTTAAAAAATAATTTTAAATCTAAAGAAATAATATTTCTTTTCTAAAATTATGTCTACATTATAAAATACTGTTATAAAATATATTTTAATATTTATATCAAATTTATAAAAGAATTCTTCCGCACATATGTACGGGTGAGAATCTAGTAATCTTTTTATTATATCAAAGAGAATGATTTAAAGTTAGTAACTCGTTAGAGTTGACATGTGTCAAGATAAACGATTAAATTTTAGACATGTGTTTTATATATATTGTGTTTCTTTAAAAAAAAGTATATTATAGATTAGAATAACGAAATTAAATGATTGATAACAATAAAAACTAAAAAGAAAAAAGAAAACTATATATAGCTGAATGTTTCAAAATTGTTAATTCACCTGATCGCGTCAAGTCAAAGTTAAAAATTTATAAAATTGATCAATAAAAAAAAATTGAAATTTTAATAATGGATTCATAATCGGTAAAGTAATCCAAACATGCAAAATTATTATAAAAACAGAAAAAAAATTCTTAGTTTTTCTATTGGGAAAATTCCAGAAAAATTCACCAACTTAATTTTGATAAGCCAATAAATACCCTAACTATTTCCATACCCAGAATAATACCTCAACTATTTTTTGTGCCCAGTTTAAATCTTAAACTATAAACAGTATACCCAGATTACGTCGTTTAAGAAACGGAAGTTATCGGAAATGTCAACGGCGTTTTTATACCATTAACTACAGTTACACGAGAACGTTAAAGTAATTAAAAAAATCGGATCCAAACCCAGATAAAATGGGCAAAAACCTACCATACTCAATTTAACCCGTTTCGACAAAAAAAAAAAACCCCCAAATCAGAAACGAAGCCCTGAAATAAAAATTTACCCAGATTGCAAAACAGCGATGAACCCTAAATCAAAATGTCTTAACTGAATTCAATCAAAATCAGACAAGATGAAGTACGATTGTAGGCGGTTTCATTGTTTATCTGTTTTGTTGTCTGGTTAGTTTGATAAAGAAGAATTCAATGTTCATCAAACAAAGAATTCTCAAAACTTAACTTGTAAGAATCTGGATAAGAGAAAGATCCTTCACAGAGGTCAAACCAAAACAAATTACAGATAACAAGATAGAGAAGATAACAAGCTTTCAACAATTTTCCATGAATGAATGAATGAATTCTGGTGTTTTCCTTCTTTTAACGCTTCTTCCTTTGCTTGATAACTCCAAATGATCTCAACCCTTCAAAACAACTTCTAATTTCCACCCTCCACATATTTTTCACTCCATATACTACTTTACTGTATCATAGTTCGAATTATGAAATTGTTTCACGTGTAGTGACGAAGATGACAAATTGCTTTTTGTTTAATGAAATTATTCCATCACTGTTTGCATTTGAACCACTCCCAGAACTCTGACTTTGGCTTCGATTCATCTCTCTCTCACAAATTTTTTCTTTCTTAATTTGGGGATCGAAATTATAAATTAGGGGACTGTCACATTTAGGGATTTATAGACAGAGTCGTTTAACTCATTGTTGGATGCTAACTCACATTAACAAAAAAATTAGCCATCGTTTAGAATAATTTAACGAGACGTTTACCTCCGTTAACGACTGGTTGTAATATGATCACACTGTTTATAGTTGAGGATTTAAACTGGACGCAAAAAATAGTTAGAGTATTATTCTGGGTAAGATTATAATTGAGGTATTTATTGGCTTATCAAAATTAAATTGGTGATTTTTTTCTGGAATTTTCCCTTTTTCTATTTGGTCAATGAGATTAATCCTAACAGGAAAATAACTCTAATTTTTTACTTCTATATATAAACCACAATTTGATAGTATGTCAATTACACATCATAAAATTAAAAGTTTCATAATCTATTCAAAGCTATTTATTGCATCTGTTTCTCCAAATATTTCTTTCAAAATATATATATTTTCCATCTAACTTAAATACTAGATTATGTATTATATATTTTTAGGGTAATTTTTTTTCCTTTTTTATTTTTTTCATGGTTTATAGAATATTTAATTACAAATTTGCATATATGCAGGTATTTATCTAGTAAATTAATAATCTTACAAAACGAACAATCAAATATTATATATATAAAAGAAGGGTTTCACTCTCTCCCTATTGGATCACTGGAATTTTTTTTTACTTTTTAAAAAAAAAAATTAAACAATATAGTTTGCAACAAAATAGTAAATTTAATACAAAATAAACCACTCAATTAATATATGAGACCCAACCTTAATAACTTCTTCAATACAAACGTATAAACCTACATTGAATTGACTTATATTGAAATTATGTATTAAATTATACAATTAAATATAAGTAAAGTCACTTTTCAAAAACGTAACTATGTAATCAAAACCACTATTCAATTGTAACGTCAAAACTATAGTCATTGAGAAAAAGAAATAAAAAATAGTACAATGAATAAAATTTAATATTAACTGCCCAATTAAAACCTACATTTGCATTGATTCGAACATATGTAACATTAGATGTGACACTAATTAATTTGGTGCATTAAGAACACTAATAAATCAGATTAATAAAAAGTTATTCTAGTGATTTTTTTTTTAACCTACATCTATCACTATATATATGTATTGCAAGTTCGGTCGTTTCTGAACTGTACTCAAACAGTCAAACCACCGTCAAACCACACATTCTATTGAAAAACAATAATACATAGACAAAAAGGTAAACTATTTACATTTTTTTCTTTTCAATATTACTAAAGATTGCTTGAATCTCCTTGTTTTGAGTTATGATTTGTTTTGAGAATAATTACTTTGTTAGTTGATTTATAAGGTTTTATAAGTGGACTTATAAATCAACTTTAAAAAGTAGTTTCTAATTGATTTATAAGGTTTTGGATATGCATTTTTCTAACTATGAAAATGAAATTGTAGGCACAATAGCTACAGGCGTGCTGGGGCAGGAACAAAGTTTCAAAAGTTTGTGTCATATGGCTACATTTCTTTCTTGGGATTTAGATCCAAGAATCAGAAACCGTATCAAAGCTACATGTTTTAAATACTTTTAAAGTATTTCCAAGACGGTACATAGGCTTAATATGAAGCTCATCACCGCTCTAGCTAAGTTTTATGACTTAGAACAGAATGTTTTTGCTTTTGGGGAGAGGAATAAGAGTATGATCTATGTAAATATCGGACTTGAAGATATCTTATATAGTACTGGATTTCCCACAGGTATTTAATTTGAATTTTGTATTTCATTAACACCTTTTTATTGTTGATTTTTATGCTCAATCTGAATTCAGGTATCCAGATTTGAGGATGAATATCCCTGGCATACAATTCAGGATAACCTAAAAGTAACAGAAGAGGAGGCTCGCAGCTTGCTTTATCAAAAGAGAGGACAAACCGCTTTAACCATCGATCTCAAAAAGCTGCAATCTAGATTTGAAAAGATGTCAGATGATGTGATTGATTTGATGCCTTATCAAAAGGCATATCTTTTCTTTTTGGTGGGGAGTTTGCTTTTTGCAAAAACAACAGAAACTACATCTCCTATATATCTACCGTTACTTGGAGAATCAGTCAACGACTATGTTTGGGGAGCAGCAACGTTTGCATTCATTAAGCATGACTTGGTATCAATTAGGGAAGATCTTATGAAGGTAGGACACAAGCTTCCTTGGTTTTGGGTATGCTTTGATGGTAATGTCTAAAACCCAGTAAAACAAATTTTTTTATCAACATTATTAGCCACTTTGTTACATAATAATCTTTACTGACATTTGTTTTTTATTTTTTCTTTGTAGATATTTGCATAGAACGATTTCCTTGTTTACGCAAAGCATTATGTATTGATTCTCTACCTTCTGGGTTTCCTCTGCTTTCGGGGTGATAAATCTATTTCCTAAAGGAAATGATAAGAACAGCTTTGTGAATCATTTCCAAAGCAAGCTTGACAACATGATGGGAAATCAGGTAATACTTCTTTATGAATATATAAACTGTTTATATATGGTTATAATTCTTGTTGTAAACTCAATACTTGATTATATATTCACATGTTACATGGCAACCTTTATAAACTTTCTGGCCGTAACCTTGAATTGCCTGATGAGTACAAAGATCATATTTCTATGATATACTCGTGCACAACTTGTATTTGCTTTAATATGGTCGCATATAATTGCCCTCATAAGTTCTTCAAGCAATTGGGACTGGCGGAGGTGTGCATACTTAATGAGATGCCAAATATGAATATATATCCCAAATTATCACTTAGCAAGAACAAAAAAAAAATATTGGAAAAATCGCTTTATATGCTAAAGTGAATGAATACTGATTAC